TGGCATCCAGTTGTAACTCTAAAAGGAATTTTCCAAATCCTTCGATCTTGCGTTGATTAATTTTACTGATCTTTGAAACTAATTCATTTCGCTTTGCCTATAAATTATGAGTATTAGATTATTGAATCTATAATGTTTCTAATTATCTATAAAAAAATATTTTTATATTTGTTCAGATTTTAACTAATAGCATTTATTAGTTATCGCATCATATCTTTCCTATTTGATAATCGGTAAGGAGTTTTAACATAATGTTTGTGAAGAATCTCGTATGTTTCTGTTGATAACCTGTTTAATACTTCGTATTTACAAATCGCAGGAACTGTGGCAGAAAACATTATTGAAATTAGTTACAAAACTATAATTTCTTTTAATATTATCAGAAGTCTCAGTTACTTGTATGGTATCATCAGCTGTGCAGTTTAGGAAAACCGCATTCTGTCGATGATAATGGAGTGAATATCCTCTTAAATTCAGTACTCTAACTAATAATTAATTTCTGTTGACGGAATTTATTAATTTATATGCTATATACATGTATATTTCAACTAAATGTAGTTAACTAAATGCAATTACCTCAAATTTTTTATATCACTTTCTGTATACAATTCTTTCCTGCTCATAATATACATATTATTAAACTTTGAATAAAGATTGCAAAGCTCATTACAGGTTATGTCATCCCATTCGTCAAAGATATCATCCAAAGCAAAAGTGCAATTTTCATGATATAATGATAATCTGATGCAGTAGCTACTTTTAAGTGACCTAATTTACTTAGTAGTTTGAGACCAGAAAAGTGAGGAATCTGACAGAAACGATTATCAAAAATCTTTTGTAATTCTATCCTTTCAACACTCTTCAGAATTTCTTGTATAAATTCCAATTGATATTTGAAAAGTCTGAGATCGATATGATACATACAGTCAGGAATGCACGCTTCATAAATATTCAGATTTCTGTGAAATTTTATTAAAGTTTAATTTAATTAATTCAAATCTGCAATTATTTATATAATCATTTAAATAATGATATTTACGGGAATTTCCAAAAAGCATTCTCGATAAAATGCACAGAAAAGTCCTTTCCTTGATCACCTCGTATAACTTCCTGCATATTTTCATGAGTTCTGAGAGGCATGCTTTCTAATGTGATATTCATATCATTTAGATCATTTTGTAAGATCATGCAAGTATGGCATGACATTTTGCATCAAGCTGATTTATACGTTGCTGTTATTTCGTCAGCTTCGAGCATATCTGAAAGAAAAAATGATATATGCGTAGCAAAATACATAGGTTGTCCTTTGACTCTGAAATATAGCGCATCGGATTTTTCAAACAGAGGTCAAAGTATGATATCAAAACACTTGTGAAATACCTTACGTTGTAAATTTCTAAATGATTCAGTAGTTTTGATTCCTGAATATTATATCTTAGGCAAGAATCCTAAAAGAACTTTTGCTTCTAGTAAGTTTCGAATACGATTTGGAAGGTTTCCAAGTATTAAAAATACAGGATGACCTGAAGTTTTTCCAAGTCCATCGAAAGTTGTTGCATTTGAATACAAAATGATGGATAGCAGATAGTTTAAAGGTGAAAGAGTTTTTCTGTTTCCAGCCACCAGTCACATTCAAACAGTTCTCCAAATATCCTTTCATTATTGTCTTTTTTTAGAATTCCCTTGTGAACAAAATTATCAGCTATTTTCAAACGTTGTAAAAGGGCCTGAACTGCGTGGAAAATCAGATGATAATAGAGGGTAAAATCAACTTCGTTATAAGTTGCAATGATTCTCTCTTTAAAATCAATTGAAGGTAATTTTATTTGATTGAGATATTCTTTACCTTTTTTCGTTGAATTTGATAATGGAGATTCTTTCAAGTCGCTATGTTTATTGAAAAACTAGATTATTTTATCACCAATCTTATTGCTGATGTTACCCTCTATTACCAACTCTATGAAATCTCGATACACTTCATTCAGCTATACTGCTATACATTCTGATCTATTTTTTCCTACGATAATATCTAAAGTATCATCCAGAGATACACCCTAAAGATCTTCAGATTTGAATTTGTGATCCTCAGCAATTATTTGTAAGTCTATTTCTATATCTTCAATATTTTCTTCAATGATATCTTCAGTCTCTAATTCTGTGTAATTCCATAGATTATATTGTGGATCACCTTGGAGGTTTTCATTTATGAATATATCTATTATATCAGCTTATGATGCAGACTTTTCTGTGGAGGTGAATAAAGATGTTTCCAGTATCATTGTAATCTGCATACTCCACAAGCTTGAGTCATGTTCCGGACTTTGTATTGACTGCTGCAATTGTGATCTTTGGGGAAGTGACATTTTACTATGATACATAGAATTAGCATGTCATGTTAATCTGCTGAGAGTCAAAAATACTCTCTTGCAAATTTTACAACGAAATTCATTTATTATTAATTTTTATTTCTAGAAATTAGGTGTATAAAATACAATTGAATATAAAGTAATGATTTATTGAGGGGATTTGGTTATGGTTTGTGTAATTTTATTTTTTCGATTTTTATATTTAACTAATTTAATAATTAAATTCAATAATAGCTTTTTAGTTTTAATTATATCATCAATAATGTAACTGACTAATATTTTATTGGCTTTTAAGCATTTTACTTAATTGTTTCTTTGACTTCATCAATCAGGTAATTGATTCGATTTTTAGTTAAATATATCAATTGCGGTTTAATGATCATGCGTAATATTTTAATATTCCAAACATTATATTATTTATTATTTTTTTTAATAAAAATATGAAACTCTATAACCTTTGACTTTTTTAATTTTTTGTGAACCCCTTTTTTTTTAGATTCCTTTTTAAATATTTACATTATTACTTTTTTTATCTTATAAGAAACGATATTTACTAAACAAATTTTTATTTTATTCAACATCGCTAAAGAATATGAATAAAAACCACAGAAAGTTTAAATCAGTCATGTACAATTGAACCTCGAAGCGAAATTTCAATTGAAATAGATTAATTGCGAAAGAAGGCTACGAACAAATTTTTACAAATGCTATTCAGTGTTAGTAAGTAATCAAAAAATTTTGATATTATAGAATTTTTTATATACATACTGACATATATATTTATAATAATATTTTGATTTTTTAAATTTTAAAAGAATCAATAACAGCTGGATTATTAACCGATGATGTAGAAAATGATCAAGGAAGCCTGTCTGTTAATATAGAAAATGACCAAGTAAATCTACGCAAAAAATCATTTGAGCTAGTAGTATCCTTTAATTTAGAAAAGGATCAAGGAGGTTTGCGCAAAAGAACGCTTGAACGAATGTCTATGAATATAGAAAGGAATTAGAGAACTTCACGTGAAAAATCATTCGAACTAACAACTATGGACATAGATAAAGTTGATGATTTTCAGGACAATGTTGAATACTATAGAATGTCTGATGATGATAATTGACACAAATCAGTAGCAACCAATGTTGTGATTTCTTCACAGGAACTGGATTCGCAATCTTCTATAAATAAAAATATGTCTGAAGCTTACCTTACAAAAGAAGAATTCAATTATATGATGAATTTACTCAATTCAAAAATTAACGCATTATATAAACTTTGCAAATATATAAGTGAGCGACAAAAAGATAACACCAAATCATTAAATAGGCTTGTCGCACTTGATGAGCTTTCTAATAGTTTTTGGAATATAAGTTAACACGTCTGGTGGTTCTATCTCGACTTTTACTGATATACTATTATTTTATAGTATATAAAGAAGTAGTTAGTAAGCTACTACCCACTATCTTATTCCCTCTAGCTAGCGAATTTCATAAGGCATTAGAAGACTTTTTTTCTGAACATGCGGACCATTTTATTGAAAGTATTGATAGAAATACCTGGATTTCTATGTTTGAAGAAAAGTTGTTACCAAAAGTAAGTTGAAATATCAAAACTTTAAAGAGATCTTCAATAATTACATTATTTATTTTGATATTTTTAGGTTAAAGCCAAATGTCGTAGTAAACGAAATGACATTGTAGCAAGCATCTGTCATGTGATGTTTTCGTCTATGGCAAACAGTTAGATCACATTGATAACAATATACTAATAATTAAGATCGCTGAATGGAAGTTAAGTGGAAAAACACAAGCCACTTATGACACGCTTTTTTCTGATGATGAATTACTTGTGAGAATCAGGAATAATATTTTCAAACAGTATAAAGACAAGGAACTCCCGACAATGCATTATGCTTATATTCTCGCTATCTGTGATATCTTATTAAATCCAAAAGTCCTGAAATAAAATGTAATGACAAGTCAGTCATAAAGCAGGTTAATGCATTTATGGTAAATACATTTGCAATACTCTAAATTTTGAATATTTTGAATATTATAATTTGACATTTTTTTTTATTAAACAGCGTGCCTATGAAAATAAGAATCATATTACACAAAAAGTAATAGAACAAATAGCCGATGAAGAAGCCAAAGTTACTGTATATAACAAGAAATAAAATGAACTGTCATCACAAGCTAGAAGAAGCGAAGTAACCATGGATGATGATGATGATGATTATAACAATTTGATAAGTTAACTGAAAATATTTATTAATTAATTATTGATACATTTACAACATTTTGAATTAATAGATATCATATAATTTTCTTAGATTTCTGGACTGGATCGAAATTTTCACTGCTATGGTAGCTATCATCTATAAATGACATAAATATTAGATGGCTTTAAAATTTTATAAGTTATAAAAAAAATAAAAATTGTAAATTTAATTAAATAAAATAATAAAGCAATACTAGCTGAACATTTTTATCGGTTTAATTTTTAAAATATTATAGAACTTTCTGATTTATTTCAATTTAAAGTCCAGCAAAATATTCATATGACACATAGTAAAAAGGAAAAATTCAGACCACTGATCGACATTTTGGTCACAGGTTTTAGACACATTTTCACATGAAAATCAATGTTTTTTTTTCGATTCCCACGTCTTGACTACTTAAATAATTATGCTATGTCCTTCCAAAAGAAAAACTAAAGCAAAAGAACAAGAATGAGATAATGACGGAAAGTTTGCAAAAAAACCACGATTTTTTGACGATTGGGGAGATGAGGATAACAGCGGGTGGGATGATGAAATGGATATTTTAAATGATAAAGAAAAAAAAGTTGAATTAGTATGGTCAGATAATGCACATTTGGAAATAAAAAACATGGACCTTACTTTATTGGAAAAATGAAGAAATCCACATATTTTGATAAATATGGTTCTAGTGGCAGTTTTACAAAAGCTGCAAAAGGAACCGCAAATTATCAATATTTATTAATATATATCAATCAATCCCGATTGATTTTGAGGAAATCTTGGATGATATAGAAGATGAAGAACAAAATCCTCTTGATCTAAGTGAAAAAATCGAAGACTTAAAAATTGAACTTAAAGAACCGCAAAAGTCATTAACCATGGCTGAATATACCAAAAAATGGGCAATATTTGAATACTTAATTAAACTAGATGACAATGGAAAAGGGAAAATGAAAGCTAGTATGGAATCTGCGCAGTTAGTTTTTGTTGAGGGTACAGCATACAAAGCAAGATCCATTAGATATTAAGCAAAGTATTGGCTCAAATATAATCATCTTTCAAGGCAAACATAAAAAGATAATACAACTAATAGATAATGAGAATATAGTAGAACAATGCCATACTTGGATTCGTTTTCAAGATGAAACAACTACTCCACTAAAATTCAAGGAATTTATTGAAAACAAATTACTTGTTGACTCTGAAAAAACAAAAAAAAACCATTAGTGCAGCAACTGCAACACGTTGGTTGAATATACTTGGTTATTTTTTTCAATCTCAGAAACAAGATATATATTTATTAAATATACTTACCTTAGATTCTTTCTTTAAATTTTTAATAATATAAAAATAGGCATATATTACAATGGTCACGAATGTCCTGATGTGGTAAAATATCGCCAAACATTTCTAGACGAAATCTATCATTATGAAAAATATATGGTGAAATATGAAGGTGAAAACATGAAATGAAAACCACCAATATTAGAACTTGATAATAAGGAAATAATCCTTATAACACACCATGAGTGTGTATTTTATTCTAATGATGGCAAGCAAGGGGTATGGGCAAAATCAGGAGAATTGCCATTATGCAAAAAAGGAAATGGGCGTTCGATAATGATTATTTCTCCTTTTTTTTATTCATTTTTTTTGTTTAATTTTTTTAATTTTTTTTAACAGTTTTTCTTTTTTTTTTCTTTTAGGTTAGTGAATTTTTGTCAGAAGAATGTAGCCAGCTTAAATTAAATACACAACAATGTTAAGAAAATCCTTTCATACCTAAGGAAGTATGTGCTTATCTTCAGCCAGATAAAGACCGGAAAGGTTTTTGGACAAGTAACCATTTAATTGAACAAATAAAAACAAAGGCCATTCCCATTTTTCAAATACTTTTTCTTAACTGTATTGCATTATTTGCATTTGATAATAGTTCAAACCATGCTGCATTTAAATCTGATGCTCTTATTACCAGTAGGATGAACTTAAAACTCGAAGGCAAGCAACCAAAGATGAGAGACACAGTCTTTGGACCAAATAACCAGCATCAATTAATGATAAATGGAAATGGTGAACCCAAAGGAATGAAACAGGTTCTAATTGAGTGTGGATTATGGAAAAATGGATTAAATGCAAAGTGTCAGTTATGTAAAGGCAAAATAAATGATGAAAATAGGGTAGATTATTGTGCACAGCAGATAATTTCTTTACAACCTAAATTTTTGACACAAAAAAATGCAATAGAAGAAGTAATTTTAGAAGCTGAGTATAAATGTATCTTCTATCCAAAGTTCCATTGTGAATTAAACTATATTGAACAGTACTGGAGGGCGGCAAAATGATATATGCGAGAAAATTGTGATTATTTATAGTTAGGCTTGCAACGTGTTTAAAGATGGTACAGCAATTGATTTCAAATTTACAAAATGTTGCAACATAAGCTAAAATTAGTTGCAACATACGTTGCAACATTATAAGTTGCAATATATATAAATTAAAACTAATTGCAATGTAAGTTGCAACACTAAAAGTTGCAACATATTAATTACAGTTCCCATCTTTAAACATGTTATTCCAGTAGCTTTAGAGTCCATTAATATAATCACAATAAGAAGGTTTGCAAGAAAAGCATGGCGATATATGGATTTTTATAGGAAAGGGATTACTGGTAAACTGGCAGAATATGCTGCCAAAAAGTATAAATCCCATCGATGTATTCTTGATTATGTATTGGCAGAGTTAAATAAATAAATTTATTTTACTTTTCGATGAAGTTAAATAAATTAATAATAAATAAATAATATAAAATAATATAAAATCATGTGACGATCGCTATTTTGAAATTTCAGATTGTGTCGTTTATAGGTGATAGCCATCATAACTCATTTTTTATTAGTAATATTTTCATTTTAAAGCAATTTTTTTTCCTATGTATATGCATCATATTTGTGAATATTAAATAAATGATTTTACATGATTTTTATTAATTATTAATTATAAAAATGACAATAAATAAAAATCACGTAATTTATAGATGAAATTGTTTTGAAGATTTGTTTAATAAAAATCCTATGCATAATTTTTAACCTAAAAATCTGCACAGAAATCATGAAAATTTTTCTTCGAAGTTTGGTATCATGTACAGGGATCTGTACAGAAAAATCATATTACAGATCTGCACAGATCTGATATCCAAAAATTTTCCGATGATATGTGAAAAACATTATAATTAAATTGTTGCTAGAGATTCTTTTATAAATCAATTAAAAAAAGCTAATAATGAAGAAATAAAAGAAAAAGAGTAAAACTTTCTAATAATAATAATAGTGAATTACAAATCTTTTGTAATTTTGAAGTTCAAGTATCTTTACCAGATCTAAAACATGAAAATCTTTTAAATCAAATTAATGAATTAAAGTATCTTAATAAACAGTTATTATCCAATAATAAGGAGTTATTATTTGAAAAAAAGCAGTTATTATCTAAGAATGAAAAATTAAAAAAAAAGTTAAACAGCAAATTTGATAATCAATAAGATCATATTGAAGCTATAATAAACATTGCTAAAAAAGAAAGAGATAATTTATATAATGATATAATAAATTTAATAGAAGATCATAAAAGATTTCAGTTAGATAGTCTTATAAAATATTCTCCTTCCCAATGGCTTATTAAACAAAATCTGATTGTTGTAAACTTTATAAAAACCCTACTTATAATGAAAATGAAAATCAATATGAAGGTGAAAAATTATTTAAGTATGCTGTAGCAGTTGACATAATTTACGAAATAAAACATCTAAAATATGTGTCTACTATTAATTTAGCGGCATCAGCAATTAAATATTATATTGCAAAATCAAAATTAATTATTGATATTGATAATCATTTTATAAGCTCTGATGGTTATATTAAATTCATTAAATGGTAAGAAAATTTAGCTGGTAAACCTCAATTATTTCCAAATGGTTTAATATTTATGGTATTTGATAATGAGCAAAAGTGCCAAAAAAATTATTAGATTGTGATTATAATACAATTGTTTATCATACAGTTACAAGTTTTGTTTTATTTAATTATAATTCTATTGATCAAATATAAAATCAAAAAGACCTTAGTTACATAAAACCTCCTTTAACATATTACAAATTCAAGAGTTATTTGATCTTATTCTAAAAATGCAAATATTAATTAATCAACAACTTCACAATTACCTTTCTACTATTTTAACTGAAGCATGTGTAGAAAAAAGTCAAAATATAAATGCTATTGATAATTTAGTAGCTAATCAAAATACAAAAATAGGTAATCAAAAATGGTATTCAGGATATAACAAAAATGAAATTAAAAACTTGAGACGTAAATGTTCTCAATGCAAAATGAAACTTCCTACACTTGTTGAAATCCAAGAAGAAATTAATCAAACAATATCTGAAAAAGAAGATATGATCAAATCTCTAATTTTTAAGCCTTATCAGTTTAAAACGAATATTTCTAAAATCTAATTAATCTATTTAGTATAACCCAAAGATCCGAATCTAAGAAAGATATTAATTCTTCTGATATTCTTATTTCAGATCCTTTACCAATAAATTTAAACTCTATTAAAAATGTTCAAAAAAATATTAAAGAAATTAGTAGAATTAACAAAGGTGAACGAAAATGGATTACAGTGGTTTGTAACAAGATTCTTTACTATTATGCACAAAAATTCAAGGATGAATATCCTGAAATTTTCTTGATACCTGATCTACTTTATGAGGAAATGAATATATTAAAAGCTTTTGTGGAATTGAATTGGTAAGAGATTGTTTATTTTCTATAAAAAAAAAAAAAAAAATAAAAGAAAATAAAGAAAAAATAATAAAAAGAGGGAGAGAGGGAGAGAGGAAAAGGGGAAGAAAGGAAGGGAAAGAAGAAAAGAGAAAGAGGAAGAGAAGGAGAAGAGAAAAGAGAGAAAAGAGAGAAAAGGGTAATACATTTTAGGTTACGAACTGTTTTAAATAAATCTAATCCTATAATTTCATAATATAAAATTCAGGATTATTAATCTATAATATTTTGCATAATGCCAAGGATATAAAACTAAGAATCAATTAGGGTATTTTAAAAAATGTGCTGATAATTACAAAGCATAGGATTCTGTTTATAATATTTATCAGCACGCTGTAGAGTCAACAATTTCATTAATTAAGGTATAGCAATACAAAAGGAAATGATCAATAATATACAGTAAAAGTTACAAGGAAAAGTCATATGATAAAAGAAGAAATATTCATTTTATTAAAAGAAAGAATAATACTCAAATAAATTATGGATCGAAAAGGAAGATTACACAAGACAGATAAATTAAGGAAGAAAAATAATTCGGATAAATTAGTTACTAAAAGAAAAGAATAATTAATTAACTGAATAGAGGGTTAAGGAAAAAGGATAATTAATCAACTGGATGGAGGGTCTTATAAAAAGACAGAAAAATATTGGAAAAATAACAAATTGAAGAAGTTACATGAGAATGCAAGAAGGTTATACAAAAGGCACACTCATTAGGAATAATAAACTGAATCACATAAAAGCTTGTGTAATATAAATATTACACATGACATCATAAACGAAACAGAAATCAGAAGAAAAACGGAAGTTAATAGTAATATGA